ATTCAACCGAGCTTGTAAACGAATTTACAACTGAAGATGATCGTTGAACGATCGAAACATGTCTTGTTTTAAACTTAAAGTTGTTGTCCATTTCTTAAAAATAATAACGGATGTCTAAATACGCGCGCTGATATTCGCGCCATTCGGGGCTTGTGCACACAGCCTTCGACATCCACGACTCACTGCACGGTATATTTACTATACCTTATGAATGTTTACGGTGGTTATCCCTCCTTGTATACCGTGCACGAATATCTGAATCTGTCCTGGTGCCATCGAAAATATTGTACCTGGAGACAGAGGAGAGATAATTGTTTTAAACTTTCGCTACATCTCTCTCTGTGCGACTGAAACAGTTAAGAACAGTTAAGAAGAGCTGAAGATTCTTACCTTCGAAGCTCACAGTAAATACAAATCAGTTCAGCAGCGATCAAATCTGTGATCTTGTCGACGCAAGAACGTTTTCGAAACTGTGGTGTAATGTTCTAGGGTCAAAATAAAGATTTAGCTCCATACAAATGCGTGACGTCATTTCTGGGGAAAAGTCCCAGTTATTTACGTCATGTTATTTATAACCATGATACGACTGATGCTAGTGATCAAATTGAGTCGTGGAAGAACATACCTAATGTTTCATTATTCTCATTTTCAAATTAAAACGTGTGAGATTATTTGGAGACAATTTTTAAAAACTATTAACTCCGGGGCAGGCTATAAACAAGAACTTTTTAAAATACAAATGGTGATGTAAACATCACCGCAGGGAGGCCATTTTCAGTTTCTCAGTAATCCGGGAACAAAGCACGAAGACATACACGATGATCTGAGGCATTTTGATGAGGCATTCTGCAATTGAAGGGTTCAGATGGGCTGAAAAGCAGTTTCTGTTCTTTCCCCCAGTTTCCAGCATTGGTATACGTTTGCAAATTTATTGCGTTAAATAAGTTGTGAAGGAGCCCTTTTCTGAGAAAACAGTGAGAAAATATGCTCGGGCCATTTGCGTGACTTCCGCTTCAGCGTTGAAGGGAATTTCCCTTGGGTTTTTTCCTTGGCACAATTCCCTTGGCCAGCTGACGTTGTTAAAATTTGGTTGTCTGGAAATTTCAAAACAAATCCAGCCTTACAGGTATATACCATGAGCTTGAAAAGAGATTTCATTTCAAGGTAAGAAAATCATGAGTACTTGAATTATCACCATAAGATTTGTAGCTTTGTACCATAACGCAGTTACATTTTTGGCTCACGTCTATCAAAAGGTTATGATCAACACGAGCTGCTAAGTACGATTAACAGCGCTGAAATAGTTGCAACATTGTAAAGTTTCGTCATTCACAAGTACAGTCGACGCTGTTAGGAATAGTGTGATGTTGCCATTTCTTACGCTTCAGAACTCAACCAAGCTAACAAAGAGCGGCCATGTTTAATACACATCCAACAAAACCACGTGACAATATCTACTGTAAGGAGGGTAGGGTCGGACACAAATGTACTCTGTAACTTTCGCTACAATAGGGATGGCCTTTTTCAGTCGATTACATCTGGAGGGGATTCCGTGAATGGAGTGAGCTGGATTGGGGTTGGGCGTTATGAGTAGCGATCTTGAAGTATGTTGGATGAGTAAGAACTCTGATACAATGTCAAAGATTTCCTAGGTTTGTTTATTAATCGCAAGTATTTCTTTGTAGAATTCTCCGCGAGGCCGCCATCTTGTTCTGTCGCGTAGCTCCGTCATTTCAGTTTCTTGCTAGTAAGTTTTTGTGACACGTACGCATGCGCATCGTAGCCATTACTGTGGAGGCTATAAAGCTCTTTTGAGTTACTAGCTCGAGAATAAATCATGTTTTCATGCTTCAGAAGAGCGCAAATACTTACTGACAAGGTCGATCAGCTTCATATAAATCGCTTAACAATCTTGAAAGAAAATGTCTGTGCTATGACGACAGGCAAGTGACAGCGTTGTGTTGCGTGACAGGCCTTTACTAGGAAGATCGAGAAATTCAATTAGGGTGCACGCTATGTTGAGGACAAAACGCTCGAAGCCACCTTATCAACGTCTAGTTAACAATATGTTAACAGGTTTTTTTTTTAAAATCAAATTCAGAGTACAGAAGGAGCTAAAACAACTGCAGTCACTAAAGCCTCATGGGATTAAAGTGACACTTCCATCGGACAGCCTTCAAGTATGGGAAGCTGTGGTGCCGGGATCAGAAGAATCACTCTACAAAGGTGATCGGTGCTTTGATTCTCACTACCTTCACATGCAGTTCTTTGATAATTTTTGTGTTTGTTTTGTTTCCTTAGGAGGGCGGTTCAAAGTTCAAGTTTATTTACCGTATCCTTCAGATAAAAGAACTTTCTAGTGCTTTATTTAATTTTAGGAAACACTTATTTTCAGTAGCCCAGTGTTTTGCTAGTCTGCTGGACATTGTATTGAGAGTACCCGGGTTCTAGTCTAGCCGCATTCTTTACCTTAGGGTTCGGAGAAAGTAACGGCCATCGTTGCTTTCGAATTTCATGGATATTAGGAACCTTTCCTCGTCGCTGTTGGGAGGGTAACCACTTCCTTGTATCTTTAACGCGTATCATTTGTGGGCTGATGCATGAATTAGACTGTAAATGTTTCTACGAATAAAACTTGGAGGAAAGAATCAGTCTTTCACGACAAAAAAAGACTGATATATTGCCTTTAGAGTTAGGGTCCTGATCTGAAGCAAATATTAGAAAAGTTTGGGACACGGGCTTATCGCGTCTGTCATTGCCAGGTTAGTTTGAGGTTGCCTCTTTTTGAATATTGCTACTCTTTAAATATTGCTGTCAGCCATAAATTTTAGGTTTCAAACCTGTTATAAACCTTATCACAACATTGTCCAGCGCGCCGGCTAAAACCATCATTGAATTCTTAGTTGTTCACTATCCTCTAACTACTTTGAATCCTTGACCACGTAATAATCATTGTGTAGTGAGAATTACCCTCTTGGTCCTCCAACGGTAAGTGTATGATTTAGAAATACTTTGTGAAACATGATGTGTCATCATCAGGGAAGGGTCGGGTAGCAGCTCTCGTAAGGTCTCACATGAATTGCTTGATAGCCTTTGAGAGGACAAGGGAACAAACAACAGAAACAGTGCCCCTAGCCGCGCCCCAAAACAATACCTGCTATACACTAAGGGTACGTTCCATTGGGGTGATCTGGATCAGGATCAGTGATCTAAGATCACTCGGATAATGGTTCATCAGAGGAACCGATGAATCCGTGACCAGAGTGGATATCATCGGTTCCTTTGATGCACCATGATCCGAGTGATCTTGGATCATTGATCCTGATCCAGATCACCCCAAAGGAACGTACCCTAAGATGACAAATAAAATTACAAGCTTCGGAGAGCTGTTACACTTCTGTCGTCGGAGTGAAAGCTTTTTGTATAGAGTGAGTTTTACATGTAATTGATTGCCTTGGTCACACGCAGCCGGCACCTGTCCTCAGTACGGTCGGGACATTTTGTCCCAACTCTTCGTCTACCTATTGTCTTCACCGTTGTTGAAAACTTATCTACAACTGCCAATTAGTTCTACCTCAGGTTCGGTCTCTGTGGAGACGTTCAACTGTGATTAAACGACTCAGACCCGTGCGTAGGTGCGAGGCATCAAGAAAAATAACTTATGCACTTACCAGCTTGTGTCGCGAGAGACTAACTATTGTATCTCTCTCGCGCCAGGTTCGCTTCTTGTCTCCCATTTATCACCTGAACGTTTGCCCGGCAACTGGTCACGTGTGCCTGGGATTCCTGTCCGAGGAGACCTGGTTACCAACTCGCTGTGTTCAAGAGGTACTGAGTGCTTTGTTCGCTCTGTTGATCCGACCTGAACCGGAGATTGCCGCTGACCAGACACTGCTGAACATGTATAATCAAAATAGGACCGTTTACGAAGAAAAAGCAAGAAAAAGCGCACAGGAAGCTAAGTGAAGATGATGTTACACCGACACATCTTAGTGATGATTTCCTTCAATTCTCATTACTTTCTAATTGACAATGTAGTGATAAATGTAAAGAGAAATGAGATGTTGATCAAGTAAAAGAATTCGGGTTTTAACATAGNATAAGTGATACAATCGGTGGAAACGGGACTGTTGGAGCTATTTTTCTCTCCAGGGATCTTGGTTTGGACGGGTGCTATAGTGTATGGTACATTGTACCTTGCGCACCTCATAGAAAGGGAAGAGGCAAGAGTGGAGAGGTAAGAGTGGAGAGTGGAGAGGGGAGAGGGGAGAGGGGGATGGAAGAGAGGAGATGGGAGAGGAAAGAGGACAGAGGGCTTAAGGATGAGTGGAGAGGTGGGAGAGGGAAGAGGGGAGGGAAGAGGGGAGGGAAGAGGGGAGAGGGGAGATGACAGAAAAGAGAGTGGAAGGCGGCAAAAGTGGAGTGATGGCCAGTACGAACAAACTACTTCCTGTTTCCAGATTGCGTTATCAATAACAATCACAAGCTGATAGTTTAACGTCAGCAAGAGTTTCCCAAAAGGCACTTCCTTACTTATAGCGTGGCCGCAAGGCATCTTGGCTCTCTTGGTTTTGGGGTCATCGTCCCACGTGATCATATCCGGGGCTCCACTGAGCTCCACTGTGTCATCCAGTACTTTCTCAGGTGGAATGGATGTCCTTGATCCGCCAAGCAGTCGAAGAATAAGGAACACATTGGACTCATTCTGCATACCGTAGTCGGATAGGCGTTTGCCTATCTCCAGTTGCTTTGTGGTGTAAGCCACACGAAGCTGATCCTCTTTTAGACACCATTGCGAAGTATTCCTCGACCGTAACATCCTAAGTAAATAAAATAACGGATGTTTTAAATACGCGCCCAGGTACTAGAGGATGCGAATGGTCCTCAAAAACCACGAGTCTCGCAAAATTGTAGTCGAATTTGACAGGTCTCGCAGTCACGTTCTTTTTAGCCGCTATGTCCGTCTCGCCGTCTTGAGTTCTCACAGAACTGTCTAGGAGTCTCGAATTTTTGCAAGACTGAAAGACCGACTTGCTTTTTTTTTGTTTTTAACGCGTGACTGCGTAAGCAGTTGGGCTGTTTTGCTGGCGCATATATCCGGTTTGACATATCTAGGACAACGTGCTACTTAACTGTGAGTGTTGCGCTAAACATGGAACGGTTAGTTCAAATAATTTCAAATTTAAAAATTCTGGTTTAAAACTTGTTGATCAGTTAAAGAGTTGAAGGCAACTTGTAACTGCTAGTTCAAATAGCTGAGATTAATTGTGTGTTAAAATTTCCGGTTCATCTGTTGGTCGGGAAAGTCAGTTTATCTCACACCGTTCACCACCCCTGATACTCGTCTGAAGTTCTGCGCGCATGAGCATCTAGCACACACAACTAACTGCACGGCATATTTACTATACCTTATGAGTGTTGATGGTAGTTATCCCTCCATGCACACCGTGCACGAATATCTGAATCTGTCCTGTTGCCATCAAAAATACTACACCTGAAGAAATTAAGAGGAGAGAATTTTTTTTTAAACTTTTGCAACAACTCTCTCTGTGTAACTCAAGTAGTTAAGGAAAGCAAAAGAATAATACCTTCGAAGTTCACAGTCAGCACTGAGAAATCAGTTCAGCGGCGATCAAAGATTCCGCGATCTTGTCGACGCAAGACCGTCTCGAAAATGCAGTGTAATATTTTAAGGTCAAAATAATCTGCATTCAAACGGATGATGTCAGGCGAGTCCCAATTTTTTACGTCACGTTGTTTATAAGTCGATATCAGATTTTGTGTTGTGGCAGAACATAATTTCTTTTACAGAGTTTTCTGGTTCCTAATCGCATTCTTTATTTATTTTTGGTCAAGTTGCTTCTTTATCATGAAACAGAAGAAATTGCATTTGTGTTCGTTACGACAGCTGTTCTTTTTTTTCCCGGGAAAATTGAAGTTTATTTCAGTAACCATGTGACGTTATGTGACGGGGGTGTGGGAGGGGGGGGGGGGTTGTAGGGGGGCCGGTTGGTAATGGTGGTCAGTGTTGGCGTTTAATTTACTGTACCATAGAATCTCAAAACACTGTCTAGTTCTGAAATTAGTTAACTCCCGGTCACCAAATAATTTGAAGGTAAGAGAACACAGCATAACAACTTCACTTTCGTGTATTCGTTAGTAAGATAAACTGATGGCAGCTAAGGTCGGAATTTTGAAGGGACAAGTCTCAGGGCCTGTTTGTCCCTTCAACTCAAACCAGTTTGAAATTGACGGACAGGTCGCAGAGTCAGCGACTAGTGTGGGTAACTCACATGAATGGACTTGTCCCCACTCCGCAGGATGTATCGCAGAGATTTGCATTGTCCTCTTGTGTGAGCAACATTAAGTCCTTAAAAACCAGAAATATCATGAAGGAACTGGACAATGCAAAATTTGACCATCAAGACCAATTTATACCTACTGACCTGACGACTTTACAATAGCGATCGTTAAAAAGGTATTGTGCCGTAACTGTGCCAATGTAGCAGGGGCGGATCCAGGATTTTTGTAAGCACCATTAAGGAATGGCGTAACTGACAGGCGAGGTAAACAAATTTTAAAAGCAAATACGAAGAAGAAGGCTACATTTCAGGTGGGGGGACACTCCCTGCACCATAAAAAACGACTAGTTATAAACTAGAGTAGCAGTGTTTCACTTTAAAAGCATCGTTGAACCCAACCTCGTCCCTACGGTCCCAGGTTTTCAAACTAATTCAAAGTTTGAGCTATGGTGAGAGTAATAAACTTTATTTACAGTCACGAATTAAACCACAAGCTTACATTTGGTGATTGCAGATTAACTGATTCAAATAGTTGACCAGCAAACATAGTACTACTTGATTTTCAAGATGAAAAAACAAAAATCCAACTCTATGGTGCATGAATAAATTGGTTCTGTTACTTGTCGAGTTCACTAAGTTCAGGCTCGCTACATGTTCGCTACCAGGCAGGCCGAGGTCGCTACCATTACATATACAGAGATTACCAAATTCCGCTACAGCGAAAGAGTTACAACATCGGAGAAGACTACTGCTACAATACAACGCCGCTTGTCGAGAGTTGGTGCAAGTTTCAAGATTTCTAAACCTATCATTGACACATGTAATAAGCTGTGGTGGAGCTAGCCGTAATCTTGTTTCCAATTTGACTCCGTCTACTCTAAGCTGTAGAAATAAGTTAAGGTCATGGAACGATAATGTCACGGTCCTAATTCTCTCCAGGGATCTTGGTTTGCACGGGTGCTATAATGCAAGCTTCATTGTACCTTCCACACTTCCAACCACTGGCTTCTTTAGGCTTCAAGCAGATGAAACAGAACTCCTTACCGCATCGGCATGTCATGTGCTTACAGGCCCGCACGTGCTCAATCAACATGCCGCAAGATACGCATGCGCGGAGGGAGGGGCAACCTACCACTCCAACAATTTCCTTCCTGGGGCAATTACGTAGGAACCTCAGACGTCTGTCCTCACCTGAACAGTCAGCATTCCCTTAAAAAAAGAAAGTGGGGAGGCTAGATTAAGAGACAAGTATCCAGATCAGTGTACAATTGGGGCGAACACGTGGCCATTACAGTGAGATGCGTGACCATCAATCATGCCTCGAATTCCCACCCTCCTACTCACCCTCCCTCCCTCCCTCCTTCCTTCCCTATCTTTTCCGCATGTTCAAATAAAATTGAACGTCTTATTATTGGCTACGAGCTCACCAGAAGTGGAGGCTCCACTGTTCATTAGGAACAAGTTAGCTGTGAGTTCACATCGATAGCTGAAGCAGGAATTTTTGTAATTTTCTTTAATTGCAACACAACTTAAAAACTCACCACACTTGTTCGGGTAAGAACTTTCTTTCCACTCGTGCAGACAATGCCAACAGAATTCGTAAACTTTCTCTTTATCCTTACTACACAAAGGGCAAATTACTCGTATGTGCTTTTTGTCACTTCGTTCTACCATCGAGTTGCACTTGGGACATTCTTGAACACCCATAGCCTTGATCAAGTAGTTCTTGGAGATCTTCCTCTCAAACTCCAGTATCTCGGTATCCGTCAAAACAGCCAAGCGCCTCACATCTATGTAGTCCCATTCTTTGCCGCAATAAACTGGTGGTTGGTCCTGGCTAATATAAGGACATAGAAATCGCGATCGGCCTGCTTCCAAGATGCTGCGACAATATATGGTCAGAGATTCTGGAGCTAAGACGAAACCAGATACAAAGAAATGCAACTTGGTGAATGGACGAGCTGTAAAGATAATCTGATCTAGGACGTAAAAGGTAAACCGTAACGTGGTCGCTGGTTACCGGATTCGGAGTTTATGTGGGCAAGGCAATTTACTCCGCTCCGGTAGTCACGTTAATACCTATGTTATGAAGGCCGTAATGGAGAGAAGCAGTGTTGGGACCAGGTGGGAGACCAGGGACCGGTGAGAGAGTGGGAGAGAGGGTGAGTGGGAGGGGGAGATGGGGAGAGGGGGAGAGAAGGAGAGGGAAGGTGGGCTGGGTTGGTTTAGATAGCATATAGTACAAAGTATGTTCCCAGATCTAGATTACACCATATGATCACAAGCTAAAAGCTTAAAGTAAAACAGTTAGGGTCTGTAACCAAGAGTTTCCAAAGAGGCACTTCCTTACTTATTGCGTGACCACAAGGCATCTTGGCCCTCTTGTTTTCGGGATCGTCGTCCCACGTGATCATATCCGGGGCATCGCTGAGCTCCACTGCGTCATCCAGTTCTTTCTCAGGAGGGATAGATCCGCCAAGCAATCTGAGAACAAGGTACACCGTGGATCCGTGCTGCATGCCGTAGTCGGACAAACGTTTGCCTATCTCTAATTGTTTTGTCGTGTAAATCGCACGAAGTTGATCCACCGGTATCCTGTTCTTTTTAGACACCATTGCAAAGAATTCTTTGACGGTAGCATCCTACACGATGAAAATAAATTGAAACAGTGGATGTTTTGAATATGTACGCTTCTACTCTGTCCGAATTTATGAAGACAGTCACCAAGATTTGCGCGGCGTGTTTCATTTACTATACCTTATGAATGTCTATGGTAGTTGTGCCTCCTTGTATACCTCGTACAAATATCTGAATCTGTCCTGGTGCCATCGAAAATAATGTACCTGGAGACAGAGGAGCGAAAATAATTTTAAAAATTTGCTTAAAGCCAGAGTGGTCTCTGTAAAACTCAAACAGTAAAGAGGAGCTGAAGATTCTTACCTTCGAAGGTCACGGTCAACACAAATACGTTCAGCTCTGTTTAAACTAAAGATTCGCGATCTTGTCGACGCAAGAACGTTTTCGAAACTGTGGTGCAATGTTTTGGGGCCAAAGTAAGGATAGAGCTTCATGCAAATGCGTGATGTCATTTCTGGGGAAAAGTCCCAGTTCTTTACGTCATGTTAATTATTAGCATGACACGACCGCAGATGGTGAGCTGATTTTGAGTTGTGGAAGAACACACCTAACGTTTTAATATTCTCATTTTAAAATTAAACCGTGTAAGATTATTTGGAGACAATTTTTAAAACCTACAAACTCCGGGGCAGGCTATAAAATCTCTGATAAACATGAACGTTTTGAAATAAAAATGTAAACATGACCACAGGGAGCCCATTTTTCTCAGAACTCCAAGAACAAAGACAAGAAGTTTTCCGAGAAACCATGCATGATGATCTGACAATTGAAATTAGGCAATCTGCAAATTAAAGGGTTCAGATGGGCTGGAAGCAGTTTCTGTTCTTTCCCCAGTTTCCAGCATTGGTATACATTTGCAGATTTCGTGCGTTAAATAAGTCTTGACTATTCTCTCCGAATCAGCTCGCGGAGCATTTGCGTCACTTCCGCGTGTTCAGCGTCCGAGGGAATTTCCCTTGGGTTTTTTCCCTGGGACAATTCCCTTACCCAGCTGACGTTGTTAAAAGTTACGTTGTTTGTCTTGAAATTAAAAAACAAAGACTTACGGATATACACAATGAGCTTGAAAAGAGATTTCATTTCAAGGTAAGGAAATCAAGAGTACTTGAATTATCACCATAAGATTTGTAACTGTGTAACACAACGCAATTACATTTGCATCACGTCTATCAAAACCTTATGAGCCACACGAGCTGCTTAGCACGATTAACAACGATGAAAAAGTTGCAACAAGGTAAAGTTTTGTCATTTGTCAATGCATGAATACATGTGCAGCTGAGCCTGTTAGGAATAGAGAGAGTGCCTTTTTCAGTCGATTACATCTGGAGCGGATTCTGTGAATGGAATGAGCTGTATTTGTGGGGGGGTTAGTTAGAGTAATGATTTTGAAGTATGATGAATGTGTAACAACTCTGCTACGAAGTCAACGATTTCCTAGCCTTTTTTACTAATCGCAAGCATTTCCTCAGAGAATTCTCCGCCAGGACGCAATCGTGTTCTGTCATGTAGTTCCGCCATTTCAGTTTCTTGCTTGTCAGTTTTTGTGACACGTACGCATGCGCATCGTAGCCGCTATCTACTATAAAGCTATTTTGAGTTAGTAGCTCGAGAATAAATTATGGTTTCATGCTTCAACAGAACGCAGATATTTACTGACAAGGTCGATCAACCTAATAAAAATCGATTAATAATAATCGATTAATAATATTTAAAAGAAAATGGCTGTGCTATTAATACACCGAGTAGAAAGTTGACGTCTCGTGCGATAGTTAATTCGATCGTCTCATTGCCCAGCGTTGTGTTGCGTGACAGACGTCTTGTACTGAGGGGAATTTAATTAGGGTGCACGCTATGTTGAGGACAAAACGCTCGGAGCGAGCTTTATTAACGTCTAGTTAACGATACGTTAACAATTTTCATCTTTAAAATCAAATTCAGGGTACAGAAAGAGCTAAAACAACTGCAGTCCCTAAAGCCTCATGGGATTGAAGTGACTCTTCCATCGGACAGCCTTCAAGTATGGGAAGCTGTGGTGCCGGGATCAGAAGAATCACTCTACAAAGGTGATCAGTGCCTTGATTCTCACTACCTTCACATGCGGTTCTTTGGTAATTTTTGTTTTTGTTTTGTTTCCTTAGGAGGGCGGTTCAAAGTTCAAGTATATTTACCGTATCCTTCAGAAAATAAAAAAGAACTTTCTAGTATTTTTACTTTATTTTAGGAAACACTTGTTTTATGGTTAGTGCGCCCATCTTTTTACCAGTCCGCTGGACTGTTTATTAAGAGGACCCGGCCGGACTTTCGCCTAGCCGTATTCTTTACCTCAAGTTCTGCGAAAGGCACAACCCTCGTTGCTTTCGGATTTCATGGATTTAGGAACCTTTCCTTGTCGTTTTTGGGACGGTTACTATTTCCTCGTAACTTAAACGTGTATCATTTGTGGACTGATACAAGAATTAGAATGTAAATGTTTCTCTGAATAAAAGTGGTGGGGAAGGATCAGTCTTTGCTATTTATCAAGACGAAAAAACTGATATATTTCCTTTAGAGTTGGGGTCATCTGATAGCAAACATCAGAACAGTTTGGGATGCGGGCTTATCGCGTCTATCATTACTATTGTTTCATATAACAAGTTTTAAAAGGTGAGTTTGAGGTCGCTTCTTTCTGAATATTGCTTCTTTCTACATATTGCTAAAAATCATGAAATTTTATGGCTATTACCCCTAGGCTATTAAAGACTATTACCCCTAGGATTGCTCAGAACAGGCTTCAAATCTGTTATAAACCTTATCATAAACGTTGTCCGGGAGCGGGCTGGGAGACCATCATATGGTTGAGATTTCAATTCTTAGTTGTTCTTTTTACTACTTTGAATCCTTGACCACGTGATAATCATTGTGTAGTGAGAATTACCCTCTTGGTCCTCCAACGGTAAGTGCATGATTTACATGTAGAAATGCCGTTACTTTGGGACAAGAAATTTTATGATACATGATGTGTTATCGTCGGCGACGGGACGAGTATCAGCTCTCGTAAGCTCTCAAATGAATTGCTCGATACTCTTTGAGAGGACAATAGAACAAACAACAGAAACAATGCTTCTCTAGCCCCAAAACAAGAACAGCTGCGCGCTAACAAACAAAGGAATTACACTCTTACGAGAGCTACTACACTTCTGTCGGCGAGGTAAAAGCTATTTGGATAGAGTGAGTTTAAACTGAGTGCCTGATCTGAAACTGGTCTGGTTTTCTTCAGCACCACGCTCTGTCATTGATATTGCCACACATTTTAAAACGAGTAGCACTGGGGACGAGAATGCCCGAGTAGATATTTTAGCGCATGCGTGACGAGCCTAAAGAACGTCTGCGTACAGGAGGTGCGGCTACCTATTCAACTTGTCAGATGTGAATTCCAAACCAATCACTTGGTCTGTCCAGCTATTTATCCATTCTCTCAGTTAGTTCTGCCTCAGGTTCAGTCTCTGAAGAGAAGTTCAACTGTAATTAAACGACTCAGAACCGTGTGTAGGTGCGAGGCATCAAGACAAAAAACTTATGTACTTACGAGCTTGTGTAGCGAGAGACTCACTATTGTTCCTCTTTTGTGCCAGGTTCGCTTCTTATCTCCAATTTATCACCTGAACGTTTGCCCGGCAACTGGTCACGTGTGCCTGGGGTTCCTGTCCGAGGCAACCTGGTTACCAACTCGCTGTGTTCAACAGGTTCTGAGTGCCTTGTTCGCTCTGTTGATCAGACCTGAACCGGAGATTGCCGCTGACCAGACACTGCTGAACACGTATAATCAAAACAGGACCGTTTACGAAGAAAAAGCAAGAAAAAGCGCACAGGAAGCTAAGTGAAGATGATGTTACACCGACA